TTTTTTTTTTTAATTCACAGGGAGAAGATCTCATAGAAGTTTCGTCCCAATTAATTTATCAAGGTGAAGCTGTAAGAGTCACTACTGGCATGTGGACAAATAATATCACCCTCTTCCTGTTCGATCATCAGTTAGTATATTGTAAAAAGGATATTTTAAAGAGGAATACCTACGTATACAAAGGACGAATTTATCTCGACACAAGCGAAGTGATCGATGTTCCCGATGGTAAAGGTAAGTTTTTCAAACCATCGTGTATTTTATCATCGATCCAATTCCAAATATCGATCATTTGTTAATTTACAGATCACCAACTGGGTGTAACAGTGAGGCATTGTTTAAAAGTGTACAGCTGTGTTCGAGATAAATGGTTATTATTCTGTTGTCGCACAGCGGAAGAGAAACGTCGATGGTTGACAGCCATGGCGGAGGAGCGAAGATTGGTTGCACAGGACAGAAACGATGGGTTAGAGTTTCCTGCTGCAGCGAGGCAACTAGCTAGACTCGCTGCAACGAGACAACAGAACAGACCGCCAATTAAACCTCGCAGTACGTAAAATAATTGTTATCCGATTATTCGGATTAGAATTAATTTAAATCTTGGATAATAATTAGATATCGTTTAAATTTAATAATTACAGACAAAACGTACAAAAGAGAGTCGGCTTACGAAATGCCAACAATGGTCGGGCAGGCCACGACAAACTCGTTAGGGCGTAAAGTTGGCACTTGGTTCACATTCGGTAGCAGCAAGAAAAATACACGACTTCAGCCGTCCTGAGACAGGCCTACCTTCGTGCCATACATCGACTTGTGAAAGTTTAACGAGAAGCGCTCGATCGTTGCTTCGTAACTATGAATTTCGTTCACGCGTTACTCGTGTGAGAAACTTTTCTTAAAAAAAAAGTTCCTTATCAGCTTGATTTATTCGGATTTTCTTCGATGTTTCGACGTTCAAGAATATTCGAATAATCAAGCGATCGAATATTTCGTTTTAATCAACACGAAGGCAAACGATAACAAGCGCTTATCATATGTATGGAACGAAGGTATTTTATTTATATAATTGTTAAGTTTGACGTTTAATCTGTCGATAACAATAATATCGATACGTCCTGTTGACAGGATAGTAAAACGCTACAATTTTCACCAGTCCGATTATATAGTATTCTTGTTTAATTTAAACACATACAGTTCGATAAAAGAAGAAGAAGAAGAAGAAAAAAAAAGAAAAGAAAAGTGTAACTTTATATCGTTGGCGATATTTAATTTCACTGCCTCGAAAAAAGATTCTTCTACGCTTTCTCGTCTTATAATCACGCATCTATCAACGCATCTATGAAGTTTGAACAAGGTATTATCACTTAGTTGTTTCTAGAAAATGATAAACGTTGTTTGTTCAAACTATAATCGCCAGAAATATTATATTAATTAAGCATAATTATAAATTTACGTAAAGGAGAGTATGCGTACAAGCAACGTTTATGAGAATATCTCAAGTGAAATGAAGAATATTAGAAAGTTTGGAGAAATATGAAGAGATCGAGCGGTTAAAAGCAAAGCAACAAGTATCGAAGCGGATCAAATTAGAAAATATAATCGAAGAAAAAAAGTTACATAAATTAGAAAAATGAATGCACTTATTATTAGACATGTATAAATACATATATGTGTAAAGCCGTTAGTGAGCTTTTGCGGTATTAAAGAGAAAGTACTAGTCACACTTATCATGGAAACACATGAAAGACCAGTGATGAAACTTTATCATTATTGAAATGCAACCGCTTGTATGTTGTGTACAATGGATTAGTAATGGCCATCCATTTTTTATGGTAATAAAGACTGATTGAGAAATGTTTGTTTTCCAGAGATTTACGAGTAAATAGGTATGAGGGAAGCACTGAGAGAAAAGTATAATAAAAGTGTAATCGAATTTCAACATAGATCAACTTATATATATATATATATTTGCAGTTTCAAAATGAAAAATCTTTTAATTGTATTTCTAGTTTGATGACAATTTAGATAATGTATTTTAGAGTGCACACTGAAAAAAAAACAATTGATACAAATATTATATCTTGAAATTTTCTCTCGGTGAAGCGAAACGTATCACATATTCATTAAAAAAAAAAAAGAAAAAAAAATTTTAAATTGTTTCGCTCCTTTACTGCCTAAAATTATCATCATTTCATTTAAAAAGCAGTAAATTGTAATACTCATCGTAGTTCGTATGAAGGTTTTAAATTTTTAGTAAATGGACGGAGAATTATATTTCTACGTCAGATATAGAGGCGGACAGTATTAACAATATAAATATCATTAAACGTGTAAATACTCGCACATCAAAGCTTCTTTTCTACTGCTGCTTTAGCAGTTTCTAGTTTCTAAAGAAGAAAAAAGAATCATCTGAGATATCTTTCAAATTTTTCTACTCTTGTACAGAAAAATGTTACAGAGAATATCACGATGAAAGCCAGACAGCCAGCAAAAACCTCTGTGTTTTGTATGTTAAAGATTTAATGGAGTATGCATACTGTCTGTAATTCTTCATCGCATATTTCAATTAACATTTCAAAAAACTAATCCACTACCAATTGTGAAAGTTTTCAACACTGCCAATATGTTTATTAGATATGTTTTTTTTCGTTTCTGATAATCTTTATCGTTCTAACGAATGTATAATCTTCAAATTATATGTTTAAAAAAAAAAATTATTATTCTCTGCCTTCGAGCGTAATTTTACAATAAAAAAAAAAGAAGAAATATTTGTAAAACATAAACAATACACAGAAGTATATTTTTGCTTATTTTCTGGCATAGTATTTAGTATATGAAAAGGACAATATGATAACAAAGTGAAAGAGCAAGATTCCTACTCAATTGTACAGAGATCATTAATCATTGATGTGTAGATTAGAAGCGATACATTTATTGCTGGACCTAATTCATTTAAAACTTATTTTTATAGGAATATATTTATTTGTTCGAACGCAATTTCTTTGTAAGCATTGTTATGTAAGGACAATTATAATAATGGCCAATGTAACTAAACATAAAAAGAGAAATATCTACATATTAATTATAAATGCTGAAATGATAGTCATCATTACATTGCACAACTCAGAATTTCATTGAATTTCACCGACATCGATAAAGAAAAAAAACTTTTATAAATTATCAGAGTAATATTACAAATATATGCAACATGTATTAATTATCGAAAAAAAAAATGAACATTACGATAATTTATTCTTTGCATTATTGTTCTACATATCTTGATAAAGACACGTAACTCAATATGTGATGAATAATTCGACGTGTATTCTTTCTATATTTATAAATTAGAAAATTTGTATTATTACTCTGAAAATATTAAAACAAATTCTGCACAAACGATGTGCTTTGAAGCAATAATATTAATAAACTTTACAGTAATAACAGTTTAGGCTGTTGCATATATATATATGTGAATGCATATATTGTCCCTTGTAATATTCAATATTAGTTGCACGTGCATATTAATGATTGACATTATTGTATATCATTAATATACACGAACATATTACACTTTGAAATATTTAAAAAAAAAAAAAACAATTGATACGATAATGTATTTGATTTCGTGTAAATAACTTAGATACCGTTATGAGTGTAAATATTGTAGAACTCGTCATTAGTGAAAATTTCAACATATTCTAGGCAATAAGAAACTTTAAAATTAAATGATATAACTTTTGGATAAGATTAATTATTGATTAATAGCACAATGTTTTGTATATTTGTATATTTAATTTAATGATTTAATAATAAATTACTCCCTTTGCTCGATTGTTCACGTTATAAATAATTATTGTTTATGATATGTACAGTTGAAATTACATAATATGTTTACAATTGTTTTCAAAATATAAATATATACTCAGTTAAATATATGTAAATAAACATTTTATAATTACTACATTATTATTACTTTATTGCACTGAATTATGCATTTCCTATACATTATTTTTTACAAATATAAGTAAAAATAATATATACTTTGGATAAAACTGTCATGGAAAAAATATTTAATAAAAATCCAAATTTCTATTACTATTTATTATGTATTTATGGAAATTAAGTACCAAGTATATAAGTACTTTTTGAAATTTGTGCTTTTAATTCGGAATTTTCCTTTCTTAATTGATTTACCACTTGTCTTAAAGTTTTAGCTTCTTCTGATAACTGAGCATTTTCGTCTAAACTTTGTGCGAAATTTTCCTGTATTTCTCGTAATTCTGTAATGTACTGACATGCTCTTGCCAAGATTCCTCCTTTACTCTATAAGTATAAAATTTCAATAAATGTTTGGAATAAAAATGATATAGAAAATGAATTATCAAATAAGATATAAATTATTGAAAAATTAGTTAATCAAAATAATACCTGCAACTCAAAATTCGTTTTTACATCTCCATCAGCTGTTGTACTTTGTTCACATTCTGGTAAAAGCTTTCCTAATTTTGAAATCCAATTATTAATTTTATCCCTACGACGTCTCTCAACTTCATTATGAGTTACTCTTCTTCTTTCATCTCTCTATATAATATTATTAACAATAATATTAATATTTTTTAATATATTTTTATTAATATATTAGTATTTTTAAATATTTTTTAGTATTTATTAATATTAATTATAAACCATATAAGATATTACCTTTTTAATATTAGTAAGAATATTCTGAGGATTATCTATTTGAAGTTTAACACGTGGTGCAACTGTTCTTGCAGATTCTGAAGAAACAACTTCATTACCATTGCTAAGTACATAAAATTGACCATTTATAGGTGAAGTTAAAACTTGAACAGTATTATTTATTGGAGCAGCTATTGACAATTCAGCATTATTTATGTGATTATCACCAACTTGTACTACACGATATGCTACTGTATTATCATTCCTATTTACTTCACATAATTGATACTGTATATTATCTTCTTCTGTAACAGTTTCTATTTCTGTATCACAATCTATTATTTCAGCTTCTTCTAAAACTACACCAACATTATCATTGCTAATTGTATTCTCATCCACACTGTAAAATATTAAATATTAAATAAAAGTATACCAAAGAACCCAATTAATTTAGAATATTCTAAATATTCTAAATAATTTAAAATTATATTTTCTACAAGATAACCTTATAGATTAAAGTACATAATGTTCCATATAAAACAAAATTTTATATTACGAAATATAAATATAGATTTATATATTCTATAAAACTTGAATATATAATTTTATATAAAAAAGAAATTATTATTAGTATATTAAATTTCATGTTTATAGTTATATTGTGTTTATGTGAAGGAATATATGTAAAATAAAAAAAACAATAAGAAACATACCTTTCATCAATATTTTCGAAATGATTTAAAACTTCCATTTTAATTTTTTACTATGAATTTCTTTCAATCACAGTTTCTTTATGCATAAATGAATGTACTAAATTTCTTATTTATACTGAGATCTATTTTCTATAGCTAATACGTCACACAATTTGTAAAAATATGTATAGATGAAATTATTTATCATATAGATAAAATTATTTAATATATATTAAATATTTAAAAATATTTCACAAGCAATTGATAATATCTGTATGTATTTAAATGTCAATATATAATATTAAATTTGATAACATACATATATACATACAGATATATATATATATATATATAGATATAGGTATAGTTAAATCACAGATAAAATACAGAATAGACTTAACATTTGATAGAAATTTGTATTTTATTTTTTGATTGTGCAAGAAATCATGTTTAGCATTTTTTTCTTTTAAAGAGGTGAGTACAAAAATTATATTCAATCATAAAAATTAATTTACACATTTTAAAAATAATTCTGATATATTTCTTCGATTATTACGAATAGTATTCAACTTATACATAAGTTGAATTATTCATGAATTAAAAATTATATTCCTATTTTTTACAATAGAAAAATACAATATTACAACATAATGAAAATAATATTAATTTTTGAGATTTTTTAAAAAAATACATTTAAATACATTAAAATATATTATTAAAATTATATTTATATAATGTTAATATACAATTATAAATATTAATATTTAAACAATATAGATAAAAGCAAAAGAAGATAAAGTTAATTAAATATCGAAATCATCTTGAGCACATTTTATAAAATAAATATAGACAAGGAGAACAAATAATGCGAGAAGGATAGATATAGGGTAAAAATTATTGAAATCAGCGCCATCTTCAGAGTGCCGCAAATGAAACTCATATAAAAAGGACAGAAAATAATAAGAAAAAGATAGAAATAGAATGAGAATTGATTTTTAGTGCCATCTTTCGAGTATCAAAGACATTTCTTCAAAAGTAGGATAAAGTAGGTAGGAATTAGTTATTATCTCCATCTTTTGAGTAGTAAAGATATCTTTTTGAAAATAGGATAAAGTAGAAAAGAAATGACTATTCGCGCCATCTTGTAAATACTGAATATATCACTTTAAAAATCTTTTTAAAAGATTCGAAAGATGGCGATAATATTTAATTCTTGTTCTACTTTATCTTTCTTTTGAAATGATATCGTTAGCATTCGAGAGATGGCATTGATGATCAATTCTTAATCTATATCTATCTTTTTCCTATTATTTTCTGTCCTTTTTATATAAGTTTCATTTGCGGCACTCTAAAGATGGCGCTGATTTCAATATTTTTATTCTATTTCTGTCCTTTTCGCACTATATTCTCGCTTTATTTGATGCTTGATTTCGAACATAAAGAGATGAGATATTAATTGAATATACTTTTATTTCTATTTCTAGTTTTTATTGTGAAATCTATTGATATTACATTTTTAACTTTACAATATATTTCTAGGATATTATTTTCTTAAAACAATATACCTTGATATATAATGTGTGAATATTTTGATTCGATGACAACTACAATAATTTTTTAAACAAATGAAAGTTTGATTCGACAATAAAGAAAGGAAGAAATTTTAAAGCTTTTCAATGAAAAATAATCTTAATGTCGGTAATAATATACAACATGTTTGATATTTTTTGAAGAAATGGCGCTACAAGTTAAATGCTAAATAAGATAACAGCGCATCTTATCTTAAACTTTTCTAGTACTATAATTTAATATAACATGGAGTGGTATCACTGCTTTAAGTAAATATTTTACCGTTTTGTGATTTAAATAAATTATTGCAAATCATTAAACGTGATATATATTAATATTAAACTTGATATATATTTCATCTTTTTTATATATTTATTTGCAGTGTATTATAATATAAAAACAAAAAGATAGGTTATGGTTATTATTGATAAACATTGATAACATCAATATTTTTAGAATAGTATTCATATAAATTTCAATCGTTGAAGATATCGTATTCAAAGTTTATTTTTGTATATAATGAAGTATTCAAGAGAATTTATTTTTTTGTCAATTCATATTTTTGCAATCATTTTAGTTATTAATTGTGAAGATGAAAATTATTTTGAAAATATAGAGTAAGTATATACATTTCTATTAAAGTGTATATATAATTTTTAAATTTAACAATTAAATAATTTTTTTTATTATTTTTTTACAAATATGAAATAAACAACAATTTTTTATAGGAATACAGAAGAATTAATAGATCCACATTCATTTTTCTATAATAAACAAAGTAAAACAATGATTAAAGACATAGAAGTGGACATGTATGTATAAAATATGATATGTATATAATTTAGATTATGATGGAATTTTAATAATAATAGAGAAGTAATAAACATTATATCATATTATTCAAATTAGTACATAAATATGTATATATTGGTTTTTTTAATATAAAATTTTATGTATGTATAAATGTATATATTATATTCTGCATATAATATAATATATAATTTTTAAAATTTATATATATATGTATATAATATATCGTAACTTACTTTTAATAACATAAATAATTTTTAATAACAAAAATATTGTTTGTTAATATTTTTAGGGTAAAAGTTATGCAAAACAATAATGAAGATCAAAATAATTTGAAATCTTCTAAACAAGCAAATAATTATAGTAGTCATGAAGCTATTTTTTATAAGCGTTTAATTAATTTATTACTATCAAATATCCATATACAGGTAATAAAATAATA